CTTTCCGAGTTGGGAGAAGTGCCAGGAAACACATTTTTATATATCAAAAGAGAATTTGGTATTCAGCAAGTCTTGTTTTCACTCTGGAAAACTTCCTTTCCGAGGTCAGGAGCTCCTGGTCTCTCATTCTCTCTTTTCATAAACTGCAGGCTTAATCCGCACCCTTCATCCCCCAATTACATCTCTGTTGTAACACAACTTGGTTGCTCAAGCTGTTCTTGTTCTTTATGCACTGTAGTCTGGATATTGTGTTCCAGACCACAGTGATGTAGGGTAGGAAAGATCCCGGGCCTCTTCCAGCTTTCATAACTCTCTCTGACACCATTTTTGTTGAGAGTATGGCATGCCGCTTGGTCACAGTTGTGTTGCGTATCATATAATCTGGATCAGTAGCATAGAAGTCTATATCCATTTTTTGAGACATGATGATATACTTGTAACACTTGACTTGTTTCCCCTCCAGACTGCAGGACCATTGTTGGGAATCTTTGCATGACACTTTGTGAACATATGTAGTTGCCTTGGAGTTATTCTGTGCATAGCACTGTTTTGTTGCAGGCAAATGTCTTGGAGGTGGGGGGGAGCCTTCCCTCTCCCACGGCGGCATTCTGAGCCCAAATGGGCTCCCCATTATTTAATAAAAGCTGTTTCCCATGCCCTGACCTGGATAGCCCAGGCAAGCCCATTCTCATCAGATCTCGGAAGCTAAGCAAGGTTGACTCTGGCAAGTACTTGGATGGGAGACCTCTTTGGAACACCAGCAGTTGGGAGGACGGGGTAGGCTTTACTCAACTACCTCTCTGAATATCCTCCAGGCCCCTAGTAGAGGTCAGTCACAGGAGGTCACCATGACTTCCAGGTGTTGAACTGAATGGCGACTGTATGATTATGATCTATGCCAATAAAGGTTTTGAACTTGACTTCCAGGTGTACACACACACATGAACATCAAAATCCCCCCCCCCCCCAAGCTGTTTCCCATAGCAACTCTGTGGCTGCTGGGAACCCAAGCTGGGTCCAGGAAACTGGTCCCACTGCTTTAAAAAACAAACATGTGTAGAAACTGTCCTATTATTCTGCTTTACCTCTAACTATATGAAAGATGACTTTAAAATAAATTCATTGGCATTTTCAGGAAGAGATTTAAGGTCATGGTCTTTTGGATTCTATTAAGTCTGTTTGAAAGTAGTGAAGAAAAAAAGTGGTAGCCCGTTTTGCAAATTTTCCTATAAAACTGGCCAGCTTGACATCCCAAAGAGCAGAGTTGTTGTTTTTTGTCCCACCTCCAATTTTCCTTTTTTCCTTTTTCTTTTTTTTGGTTTTCTTTCATTTGGTGTTTGACTAAAATCACTAAAACACTAAGTAGAGACGAGAAATACTTTAATGGGCTCTCATGAAGTATGTGTGAGATACTGTGAAATATCTATTAGTAAATGTAAACGGTAAAGGTTTTTCTTGCTCAAAAGCCAGTCGAATCTGACTCTAGGGTTGCAGTGCGCATCTCCGTTTCCAAGCCAAAGAGCCAGTGCTGTCCACAGACATTTCCGTGGTCATGTGGCCGGCATAATTAGACACAGAGGAGCACGGAACGCTGTTACCTTCCCACCAAAGTGCTACCTATTTATCTACTTGCAATTTCTTGCTTTCGAACTGCTAGGTTGGCAGGAAGAAGAAGAAAAAGAAGAAGAGATTGGATTTATACCCTGCCCTTCATTTTCTCCCGTCCCTTCTCACCAAGGGAAATGTGTTATGTTGGTTCCATTTATATTTAACTTGTTTGAAATGACTAGGGCTTTTCTTTTTTTTTTGCATACCAGCGTAAATAGCTGGAAAAAGTCTGATGAATGTTTAGATAATTATCCAGTTGCTCACTTAAATAACACCCTTTGGAAGCAACAAACCCATTGTGTAGTCCTATAATAGCTATTGTTAAACTAAATACAGTGGGGGTATTGCATAGCTGCTGCCTAACTGTTTTTGTTTTTAATAAATGTTTTGAAAGCTTCAGTATTATTTACCCCCAAATTATCATATGTTAATGGTTCATATACATTTACCTATTATGCTTCTGTTTAGCTTCTTTTTATATATCTGTATTTCCTTTATTTTAGTATTGCCTGGAGTGACTGTATTTGAATTAACTGTCAGGCAAATCTGTTTGACCTTTCCTGTAGTATTGGCAACCTTTCTTTTGATCTATTTTGGGATAAGGTTTCACATAGGTGTTCCAGGGAACAGTGTTTTGCTTGAGGGCATTTGAAACCCGTATATACAATGACTTCCAGATAGGGAGGTGTCCCCCCAAAAAACAAAAAACCAACCCCCAAAAGATTCATAATGTACTTTAGGGTTGCCAATCTCCAGGTGGGGCCTGGGGATCTTCCAGCATTTCAGCTGGTCTCCAGGCTATAGAGTTCAGTCCCCCTGGAGAAAATGGCTGCTTTGGAGGGTGAATGCTATGGGATTATACCTCTCTGAGCCGAACCCCCCCCCCCCCGAAGCCTGTTTTTCCCGGTCTTCACCCCCAAACCTCCAGGAATTTCCCAACCTGGAGCTGTTGACCCAACATAGATTTAGAGCGTGCTAAGCAAAATGAAATGCCTGAACTTTTCTCTTCTGGAGAGGTTCACAATGACTTCTGTTTATAGTCTGGTGATATGATCTCACAGAAATCTTTTATTTCTCCTTTTAGTGTGTGATAAATTGTATATAATCATTGCTCTTCTCTTGAGTTTCACGATGATATCTTGTTGAAATTAGCCAATAGTATGGTGAGATTTTCTTCACATATCTTGGAAATGTTTTAATTTTGTCCTTCCCCTTAGCATGTGAGAAAGTGAACCACATGTTGTGAATGTGATAACGGAGGCTACCTTTGTTGCATGATTCTATGTGGAGTGGGATATCTCTTGCAGGATTCAACTTGGTCAGAAATACTGATTTTTTTCCCCCACCTTAAAATGAAAATTGGCTTTCCTGCACTCCTGGTGTGAACTCGGGTTTGAAATCATGCAAGAAGCCGGAGAGGAACTGAATAGGAGTTTAGTAGCCCAGGGAGGAAAGTTCCATGCTCAGGATAGTTCCTTTTCCATGAATATCAGAAGCAAAGAAAATTATAAGTCTGTATGGTACAGAATAAGAGCCTTTCATGGTACAGAGTTCTGTACTGGAAAGATCTTAGTGTTGTGATTTCGCAGCCCTGCTTACTAACAACTTATTTTGCCTGTTAAGTCATTACTTGGATTTCAAAACAGAATATATATGATATGCATGCACTAAAGACACATGGGCAAATGCATATCCTTTGTTCTCTAGAATAAGTAAACTAGAGCAGAGAATTTTGCTTGCAGATGCCATAGTCGTCATCTGCAATAACTTCGTATTTCAAGTACGTTTCTAATGACTAGGTAGATGTAAATAAAAACCGTGCTTGTTCAGTCTTGCTTTTTAATCGGTACCTTTGGTGTGCGCACGTGTGTGTGTGCATGCACACACATTTTTTTCTTAGGCCATTTATCTCGATTGGGTAAGCTATGTAACTTCCATTTGACAAATTTACACTCATTTAGGTCCTCTGTTGTTGTTTTTTAAAAAAACCCTGGAACTCTATATTTAGCCAGGTATTTCACATTCAAGAAATATTCTGTAGCTTGATTTTATAATCCCCCCCCCAATTTATTTTATTTACTTAATTTAAACCCCACTGGTCTCCCCAATGATGACCCAAAGTAGCTTACAACATTCTCTGTTTTATCCTCACAACAGTTCTGTGAGGTGGGTAAATCTATGGGTGAGTAAGTAGTCCAAGATCACCCAGCAAGCATCAGTGGTGGGCTGGAGGGTAGGGTCTTCCTGACCACAGCCCCATGCTGGCTCTCACACCGTCATCACTTCTTCGTAAATATGGTAGTAGTTCCTAATTGTTTTCCATTTGCTGATGAAAGTGGTATACTGATGTGTCTGTGGTTCTGAGAGTGGATTAGCTGACCCTCAGAGGTGTTTACCAATGTATTTTTTGTTGTTCAGTCGCACAGTCGAGTCCGACTCTTCGCGACCCCATGGACCAGATTTGAAAAACATTTCACTCTTGATTCCCCAAAACCATGAGGAAGAGGGACTGTTCAAAAGTGAAACAAGAGTAACTTTTTGTTTTGTTTGGTCTTGGGATGTCTAAACACAATGATAAAGGGTGGAGGATTAGAGTACGGTTCGGAGAGGGCCATGGCTCAGTGGTAGAGCATCTGCTTGGCATGCAGAAAGTTCCTGGTTCAATTCATGGGACCTCCAGTTCAAAAGCTCAGGGAGTAGGTGGTATGAAGGACCTCAACTCCCTGAAGGGCTGCTTCCAGTCTGAGTAGACAGTACTGACCTGGATGGACCAATGGTCTGACCCAGTATAAGGTAGCTTCATGGGTATGTGTCTTGGAATCTCTTTTGGAGCAATTTGTGGCAGTCATAAGCCCGGGCCATAAATCCCTGGGCCTGAGAATATCAGGAATCACTAGGGTTCCCAAGTCCGTTTTTCTTGGCGGTGGTGGGCTCCCGGACGGCGTCCCGAGCGCGCGCCACATCTGTGGTCTGCTGCCAACTCATGAACCCTTTTCATCTGGTCCCCGAAGAAGTTGGAGTGTTGCGCAAGTGGCAGGATTGGAGCTGCCAGCCCAGGGTCTCCAGTAGCTCCTACCCTGCGTCATCTGTAGGATTTTGTAAAATGAGGCACACCTTGGCCCAGTCCACCGAATGGTTGCTGTAGCTCAGCATGGCCCTCAGACTTGAAAATCTGGATGCCCCTTCAGCCTGCATTGCCCTGGGGAGGGATCTGTTCTGATGTATCCATTACTTAAAGTACAGCTCCTGATTTCTCCCTTCTCTCTAAAATTTTATGTCCGCATATAAAAGAATCTATAGTAGTTATGGTATCTTGAGCATTGTACATTATTTCAGCTTTCTTCTGGTTCTTCCTGGGCAGAATAAAGGGAGTCTTCCGGAAACCGGCAAAGATGAATATGGTGAAAAGGATTATGGGTCGGCCTCGACAGGAGGAATGTAGCCCTCAGGATAACGCTCTGGGACTGATGCACTTGCGTCGACTTTTCACGGAACTGTGTCATCCTCCTCGGCACATGACTCAGAAAGAACAGGAAGAGAAGCTTTACATGATGCTGCCAGTTTTTAACAGGGTAAGCCCGGCACTACTACTTCTATTATTGTTCTTGTGTGTTCCTTTTAGGCTGAAATGGAGTGGTGGGGGGGAAGGTGGGAAGAAACTGGATTTGAAAACTTAACTATCTGACTGCCATTTTTGCCTTCTTTAATAACTAAAGCAAAGCCAGACTAATGTGCTTGTGCATTGCGCACTACTGCACTGATAACATCTTTTTCTTTGTAAATGTTTGAGTATCCCCAGTGACTGTTTCCCAGATGGTCATTTTAAACTGATGGATGCTGTCCTGCATCCAAGGCAGAAGGAGGCAAGTTTGCTTCTGTTTGCCTGTCTGTCTCCGTTGGGTAGTCCTTTAGGTGCAGCAAATCTATTTATTTTTGCTTCTACATTTGTGTTCCATGTCTGATTTTGTTTTGTTTTAAAGTGGTTCACAAGGACAAAGTATTAAACCACATTCCATTTTTCATCAAGAAGAGCATTCCTGAGAAAAGCTAGAATCTGGGTGAGCCCAAGTGCATGAGCTCACTGGATGAGCCAGTGTGGTGTAGTGGTTAGAGTGTCAGACCAGGATCTGGGTAGACCCAGGTTCAAATCCCCACTCAGCCATGGAAGCTTGTTGAGTGACCATGGGCCAGTCAGACACTCTCAGCCTAGCCTACCTTATAGGGCTGTTGTGAGGATAAAATGAAGGAGATGTAATAAATGAAGTGAATAAATTAAATTATGGCTACATCCTGAGCCCCTATAGATGCTTTGTGGGGGTTTTCCTGTTGATTAGGCTCTGGAAAGTTTTGCAAGGAGTACAAAGCCTAACAGACTGAAAAACCTTCTTCCTTGGTAATGGATTCTGTGTTGACCAGGCTGGATGCCACAAATTCCTTGCATTGTTTGCAGAATGAACCTTCCCGGTGCCACTGTTTGTGGCATGGATCTGTGCTATCGAACCCAAGTTAAAGTGAATTTGAAAGCAGTTACTGAAACAGTTTCCATTGGGACAGAATCAAGGTTAATTTTAAAATTTCAGTTGTTTGTGAAGTTGCTGTAATCTGGCACCTTAATTAAAGTCATCTTGAATGTTATAGTCACTTTTTCCTGGTAGGGGGTTTGGATTTTTAGTCATGTATAGTTCTTGGCTTAGAAATTTTTAGCTGTCTTGTAATATTTCTTCCTTATGTGACTTGCTGAATCTTTTAGTTAGGGTGGTTGTTTTTTTGGGTGTGATACAGATATAAAATGGTGTGTATTTTTATATATTAAATATTTATGCATTTATTGTGGTTATTTAGATTAGTTTCCTCTTCCCCAAGTTATTCTTGAATATTCATAGACTTTATCTAATTGAAGCAGAGTGGATAGACAATTTAAATGATTGATTTAAATCAAGGCAATTTTAAATCTCTAAGAAAGGACTGGATTATTGTATTTCATAGGGGTTTTTTTGCACTGTAGAATTTATATCTGTTTAGGGGATCAGGTGTGCAAGTTGAAAGAAGGCTGAGCATTCTGCACATGAAAGAAGGCTAAGCAAGATCATTTATTTGATTCCAGGAATCAGACTACCATAAATAACTAGCATATTTAATTTAAACATTGGATTCTTTTTATTAAAAAAGATTGATTTTTATCCATCCGGATTTGGAGTCATATTGCATTTCTGAGCTTGCCGAACAACATTTACTTTCATTATGTGAACTTCTGATGTCCTCCTCTCTACTTGACTGTGGTTTTCTGTCTTCAATAACCTTCTTAAACTTGTTGCTCTTTTTTAAACATGGAAATTTTTATTGGCAGCTTATTGGTCTATTTTCTTTGACATTAGTCTCCCATTCCTTAAGGTTTGCTTCTCTAGATATTGTTTCTTAAGTGCTCCCTGTGGTTTGCTTGTCTAGATGTTTTTTCCTAAGCAGTGTTCCCTCTAAGCTAAGTTAGTGTGAGCTAGCTCACAGTTTTTTGGCCTCCGGCTCACACATTTTTCTCTTAGCTCAGGAAGCATGGCTCCAGAGCAAACTAATTTATTTGTTGTTCAGTTGCATAGTTGAGTCAAACTCTTCGTGACCCCATGGACAAGATCACCCCAGGCCCTCCTGTCTTCCGCCATCCTCTGAAGTTTGCTCAATTTCATGTTCGTTGCATCTATGACACTGTCTAACCATCTCATCCTTTGCCGTCCCCGTCTTCTTTGACCGTCAGTCTTTCCCAGCATCAGGGTCTTCTCCAGTGAGTGCTCCCTTCTCATTTGGTGGCCAAAGTATTTGAGCTTCAGTTTCATTATCTGGCCTTCCAGGGAACAGTCAGGGTTGATTTCTTTTAGGATTGACTGATTTGATCTCCTTGCAGTCCAAGGGACTCTCAAGAGTCTTCTCCAGCACCATAGTTCAAAAGAATCTATTCTTCGGCGCTCGGCCTTCCTTATATTCCAACTCTCGCAGCCATACATGACTACTGGGAATACCATTGCTTTGACCATGCGGACTTTTGTTGGCAGGGTGATGTCTCTACTTTTTATCATGCTGTTTAGGTTCACCATCACTTTCCTCCCAAGGAGCGGGCGTCTTTTAATTTCATGGCTGCTGTCACAGTCTGCGGTGATCTGGGATCCCAGGAACGTGAAGTCTGTCACTACTTCCACGACTTCCCCTTCTATTTGCCAAGGAAACTAATTTATACAGAGTTATTTATATAGTCTTGGGTGGAACTGGTTCCTGGCTTAGCACAGAATCCCAACTAATTCTTACTCATCTCTGGTTCTACGTGGTCTCTTGCCCTCCTCTGCACTGGTGAAGTCTTGCTGATGCCTTGCTAACTGACTTTAGCCTCCGACTGATGCAGTGGGTTTGCTTTGCCCATGTTACTTATAGAATCATAGGATCACAGAGTTAGGAGGGTCCATACAGGCCATCTAGTCCAACCCACTGCTCAATGTAGGATCTGCCTAGAGCATCCCTGACAAGTGCTTGTCCAGCCGCTGCTTGAAGACTGCCAGTGAGGGGGAGCTCACCACCTCCCTAGGCAGCTGATTCCAGTGTTGCACAACTCTTACTGTGAAAACGTTTTCCCTAATATCCAGCCGGTATCTTCCCTCTCCTCTGCTGTGAACAGGAACAGCTCCCTGCCCTCCTCTAAGTGACAGCCCTTCAAATACTTAAAGAGAGCAATCATGTCCCCCCATCTCTTCTTCTCCAGACGAAATCTTCCGAAGTCCCTCAGCCTTTCCTCCTAGGGCTTGGTCTCCAGGCCCCCGATGATCCTTGTCGCTCTCCTCGGCACCTGCTCCATTCTGTCCACATCCTTTTTGAAGTGAGGCCTCCAGAACTACACACAATACTCCAGGTGCAGCCTGACCAATACAGTGTACAGGGGGACTATGACATCCTGCAATTTGGATGTTACGCCTCTGTTGGTACACCCCAAGATAGCATTAGCCTTTTTTGTTGCTGCATCACACTGGCTGCTCATATTTAACTTACGGTCCACTCATACCCCAAGGTCTTGTTCACTCACTGCTACCCAGAAGTGTATACCCCATTCAGTATGTACATTCCTTATTTTTGTTACCCAGATGTAGAACTTGGTACTTACCCTTGTTAAATTGCATCTTGTTCAAATCCACCTACTTTTCCAGTGTGTTCAGTTCTCGTTGAATTGTATCTCTGTCTTCTAGTGTGTTTGCTGCTCCTCCGAATTTGGTGTCATCTGCAAATTTAATGAGCAGCCCCTTTACACCCTCATCCAGATCATTTATAAAAATACTGAAAAGTACCGGGCTCAGAAGTGAGCCCTGTGACACCCCACTGAACACCTCCCTCCATTCAGATGAAATGCCGTTGACAACTACTCTTTGTGTGTGGTTCTCCAACCAGTTCCCTATCCACCTAACTATCCTAGAGTCCCGTCCAGAGTCCTCTAGTTTACCCATCAGAAACATCATGGGAAACCCTGTCAAAAGCTTTACTGAAATCCAGGTAGACAACATCAACAGCATTCCCTCGATCCAGTAAGCTCATCACTTGATCAAAGAAGGAAATGAGGTTGGTTCGTGTGTTCTATTCCATTCATTGGTTATAATCCAGGGGTAGG